CTATCTATCTATCTATCTATCTATCTATCTATCTATCTATCTATCTATCTATCTATCTATCTATCTATCTATCTATCTATCTATCTATCTGTCTGTCTGTCTGTCTGTCTGTCTGTCTGTCTGTCTATCTGTCTGTCTGTCTGTCTGTCTGTCTGGCTCTTTTTATTCTTCTTAGTAAATATATTTAAGATGAACAACAGAGGATGATGGAAAGTGTTTTTTACTGGAAAACAAAGAATAGAAAGTATGATGTAGAATATGAGATAATCTGGGCTTGGTTCTCTTTAAAATGCCCAGAAACCTTGTAAAAGTACAAAGCAGTTACCATATAAATAAAACTTTGATCTCAGTATCCCACGCTAGGTCCTATAGAAAACACTGACCTGAAAATCAAAGAGCCCCATGTTGACCTGGTGATTAGACCAGCTTTGCATAGGTTATTCAGTTTTCCTATGCTTCTATTAGGGGACACTTTTAAAGATTGTGCCTTAAGTGTAGTGTTAATGACAAAGCATTGTTCTGAAAAGGATTGACAAAGTGTTGTCAGCATTTAAGGTAAAATTAAAGCAGTGTGATTAAAAATTAAAATGCTGTAACACTGAATTTAAAAAAGGGAGTCATTCTCAAAAGTATGTAAATTATTTGCAATAAATATCCCAAAATGTGTTATTTTCTAAAGTGTTTGTTTCCTATTCTTGTACTGTTTTAATTTCTACTTTATAAAAACCCTTCTGTTCCCACAGTAAAGTGTGTCACTCAGATTAAAAGTCTCAAAGGTCAACAAGGTTTAATCAAATCCAGCCCTCTCTTTTTCTTCTTTCATTATTATATAATTTTTAATTATCCATCATTTATCATACAATCATGCAGAGTTTAACGTCTTGTCTGGGACTATCTGCTTGTCCAGTGACCAGAGAGATGCCCTTCTTTTGTTATTCATCCTGCCCCTTTACCACATCCCCAGCTTTTTTTTTCCTGCTTTACAAATACTCTCTCACACACTGAGGCTTATACTAATCCTTGTGAAAACAAAGCGATATATTTCTCCCTGCACAGATCAGGAGTGGGATGTTCATCAGTGTGTTTATCAGGATTAGGAAGATGTCTCCCATAATGCAACCTCTAACATAATACTCACAAATCTCTCATCTAAAACGGTGAGATACTGAAACACTGCACAGAAATACAAAGGGGATGAGCACAAAATGTAATGATGCAATGAGTTACCATTCTCATCAAAAGGCTCTGACCCAGTGCGGCCTTGTGACCTCTTTAACTGACCTCTCAGTGGGTGGTCATTTATACTGACCAACACTACAAGACCCCACTCTCAGAACATATCGGCTATGTCTAGATTTTCTTTTTTTCTCTCTTTCTCTGCCGCTGTTTGTGTCTGTGTAAAAGTAAATTGTGTTTATGTGAGTATTTAGTTTGTGGTCTGATGTCAGGATGGGATTATGCTGACCCATAGTCGGTGAGGAGGAAAGTCTGCACAGGCGGGTAGACATGTTAATCATAAAATCTTTATCTTGCAATCCAGCCTCACGCATCCAGGCTTCATTAAGAGACAGCCCTGGGATTAGGGCAGCTAAACCAAAGAAAGCTTCAGAGAAAAGATGAGATCTATCTATCTATCTATCTATCTATCTATCTATCTATCTATCTATCTATCTATCTATCTATCTATCTATCTATCTATCT